AAGTGTTAGAGTAAGGGGGAGTAATTTCAAACTTGATTTCAAAATAAAATCTTAAAATTACTAAAATGTTTTGTTATATCAAAAAGGGGGAGATTTTTTAAAACATTTTGATATTTCGATATAACAAATTAAATTAAATGAATTTTAAGATTTTCCAAAAAAATATTTTCTAAGTATATTCGATATAATTATTCGAATATCAAAATATTACTCTAAATCTTTCAAATGTCATTTTTAATCCTTACTCAAGTGTAAAATTAAGTTTTAATCTTAAAATAATTTCAAAACAATTTTACAAAATATTTCGAACCATTTCAAAGCCAAAAATTTCAGATTGCTCAGAGGGAACTGATTCCCCCCCAAGGAGGTACCGATTCCCCCTGAATGGTTTAGCTCCGAGAAAAATAGAATGCTCGGAGGGAATCGATTCCCCCCAAGGGGGTACCGATTCCCCCTGTTTAACGGTCGAAATATTTGAATTTTACACTTAGGGAACCGATTCCCTATGAGGGGGAACCGATTCCCCCCACGCTCCAAGCAGAAATATTAATTGTTTTCACACTTAACCGGCTCCAATAACTTCATTAATGATCCCCAACGTTCAGAAGTGATTCAAGGTGTATTTAAACAAGCTTATAAGCCATTGATCAATAAGAAAAAACATCAAGCAACTAGAATCAAGAGAGAATCAAAGAGAAAGCATCAAACCTCAAGTTTGAGCATTTCAAGCCTATTTTTCATTCAATATTCATTTTGCTTTCAAGAACACTTATTGTGCTCAATTATATTTATTATTGAGTGTTCTTTCTTTATTCTAGAATTGTGCAAACATCTTACCTTGTGAGGTTTTCTTGCAAGTTTGCGAAATTTGTAATCTTCTCTTTGAGAAAGAGTGTTCTCAAGAATTGGGGTATAATTCTTGAGATGGTTGTAAGGTTATCTCTTTGGCCTCAAAAGAAAGAACAAATTAGTGAATTTGTTGGAAAATCCTTAGTGTAGAAAGCTAAGGTAGTAGACGTAGACTTTGTTGAGAAAGTCGAACCACTGTAAATCACTGTGCAATTACTTTCAATTTTTCGCAAAAGCTTCCACCAAAATTTTAATTGCCAATTCACCCCCCTCTTGGCCGATTCCATCGATCGATTAACTCAACAAGACTCTTTTTGATTTAACAAAAAGGAGGAGAATAAAGTAAGGGGGAGTAATTTTTCAAAATTGATTTCAAAAATGATTTTAACAAAAAATGGGAGATTGTTGAAAACATTTTGATGTTTCGATATAAAAATAAAGTGTAAGTGAATTGTAAGATTTTATATTCGATTTTAAAAATTAATATTCAATTAAATTAATCGAATATCAAAAATATTACTCCAAGTTTTCAAATGTCAATTTTAATCCTTACTTAAGTGTAAAATTGTGTTTTAATCTTAAAACATTTTTGAAACAATTTTACAAAGTATTTCGAACCTTAATCGAGCCAAAAACAAGTTTTGTGGTGGGAGGTACCGATACACTCCTTGGATGTATCGATACACCCCAACTTCGAATGGAATAAGGGTATCGATACACAACTGATGTACCAATACACTCAAGGCTCCAAGAAACATCGAATATAATTAGTGTACCGATACACTTGGTCATTTAACGGTCAAAATATTTGAATTTTACATTGAGTGTACCGATACACTCTGATAGTGTACCGATACGCTCTGATAGTGTACTGATACGCTCTGATAGTATACCGATACACTCTGATAGTGTACCGATACACTCTGATAGTGTACCGGTACACCTACGCTACCAATAGATTTTTAAATGGAAAACATACAAAAATGGCTCTATTGACTTCACCAATGATCCCCAACGTTCAAAATCAATCCAAGGTGTATTTAAACAAGTTCTAAAGCCATTGATTAACAACGAAAAACAAGAATTGAGAAAGAATCAAGAGAGAAAGCATCAAACATCAAGTTTGTGAAATTCCAACCAATTTTCCTTCAATATTCATTTTGCTTTCAAGAACACATTTTGTGCTCAATTGTATTCATCTTTGTGTGTTCTTTTCTTGTTATAGAATTGTGCAAACAATCTACCTTGTGAGGTTTTTCTGTAAAGTTTGCGAAATTTGTAATCTTCTCTTTGGGAGAGAGTGTTCTCAAGAATTTGAGATATAATTCTTGAGGGATTTGTAAGGTTACTCTTTGTCCTCAAAAGAAAGACAAATTAGTGAATTTGTGGAAAATCTTTAGTGTGGGCTAAGATAGTGGACGTAGACTTTGGTTGAGAAAGTCGAACCACTCTAAATCGTAGTGCAAATATTTCAATTTTCTGCAAAAGCTTCCATTGAAATTTTTATTACCAATTCACCCCCTCTTGGTCGATTCATCCGATCGATTAACTCAACAACTACCTTACTGTGGTTAATGAGTCTGCTATGTAAAGGTATGATAGAATTGTTTTTTTTAATTTTAATCTCAATATTTCAAATTGTTTCTTAATTATTTTAATTTTAATTTTAAATTTTTATGGTGTTTAACGTTAAGTGAAGCCATTGGAATATGAGATTCAGTCTTGTTTTTCCGTTTACTAGTAACTTCTACTTATTATTTACTTATTATATTTATTATGCTTAACAGTAACTGAAACAAATTTTTATTAATGCTTTTGTTTTTTGTAGGATGCTTCTGTCCAAAGTAACACATCTTGATTTTGCTTGATATTATTTCTGTTATTATAAACAATGTTGAATGTTTGATTATGTAAGGGTTTAGTAAAGTCAGAAATGTTTGGTTGTTGGCCATCGTATTCCCTTTGGCTTTACTGCTGACTGCATGTTTGTTTAATGCAGAAATGCTACATGTTGCTGTATACTGCCTGTTGCTGCATTGTAATTTATTTTGTTGGTCTGGATTAAATAGATTGTTGAAACTGTCATTTTTTTGAAATAACTACTCATGTTAAATTATTTTGGTAGCTTTAAAATTTGCCTGTAATTTAACAATGTTGGCAGCTATTTCGATACAAAAGCTCGATGAAGAAATTTCTGGTATCGATGAAGAAATTTCTGGTAGCAAAGTTAGGCTTTTAGCCTTATAACATTTTTGTTATAAGATCTGAGAGTTTAAAAAATTGTTTTTTTTTCATTTTATTATATTCAACGTGAATTAACTCAAATGTTATTCAAAGTTTATATCAAATGTTATTAAAATTATCATTATCAATTAAATTTATCTTTTATATTATGTTTTATTTATGTTATAATTGTTAGATAATTTTTCTTTACAAAATTTAAACTGTATATTTTATATTTATATTTTAGAGAATTAATCACATTCAATACCAATATTCATTTATTATCAAATTAATTATCATTTCATTGCCAAAATTATTTGTATTAATAATGTAAAATGTTAATATAAATTACATAATAAATACTTGCATTATTAATATTATTTTTTTCTTTACATAAATTAAACTATATAATTTATATAAATTAAACTATATTAATTTACATTTAATCATTGTTCAATGCCAATATTTTTATTAATCATGTTTTATATAATTTATATTTAAATAGTTTTATTAATTTTATTAAACAATTTTATATAATAAGTCTATTTATTAATTTAATTATTATAATAAATATTTTTTATAACATTTAAAAATTAATCATAAACTCAAAAACTCACAATTTTATTAAAATCTTATAATTTTGTATATGGTAATATATTGTTTTATATTAATTTTTTAAATTATATCATAACTTAAAAACTCATAATTTTATTAAAATCTTATAATTTCGTCTATGGTAATATATAAGTCAGGTAAATGTCAAGTCAGGTAAATATCAGATCAAGTCAATAACAAGTCGAATCATTTACAGGTTAGGTTAAAAACATGTCAGGTTCATCACAAATCATGTTGAAAACAGGTCGAATAATACCAGTTATTTACCATGCAAATCTCAGGTTCAGGCTCATATCAAGATACAGGTCGTGTTCGAGTATCATTTGTTTAAGTTCAATTCAGTTCAGCTCGTTCTCAGGTTGGGTCTAGGTCGGGTTCGGATCTACAATTTCTAGATCCAACTCGGATTCAGATAAACACTAACTCCGAGTCAAATCGACTTCAGATCACTACAGCGCAGATTAAAAATAATTTTGACTTTTGAATTCAATCAATTTTACATGTGAGGTAATCTTTTTACAGCCCTACTAGTAAATGACACTGCCGTTCTTGGGAAGTGAAAACAAGTGGCAGTTAAGAGAGAGAGTGGAAGAGATTAAAGAACACAAAGATAGATAGATTCCTCTAACCTGATTCTATCCGTATTACAGAAAAACCTAGATTTAGGTTCGTTTCGTGATGTTTCAAGTATTTTTAGTTAAAAAGTTTATTTTAATTGTAAAATTAATTTTAAACGGATAAAAAAATTACATTAAAAACAATGATTTTAAACTAATTAAAAAAACAAAGATTTCTATTTTTTTTATTTTCAATTTTATGTTTAGAATCAAATTATAATTTTATCCTAACTAATATATGAGCTCCACTCAATTATATATTTATATTTTATTTCAATAATTTAATATTAACATCCTTAAAAAATAATTTATTACTTAATAATTTATTTTAATTACTTATAAATAAATAAAATTTATAGTTTATATATTAAAATATTAGTAGTGAGTTATTATATAATATATTTTTATTATAATTATAATTATATTTTTTATTTGTATATTTTATAATTTTAATTTACAAAACAACGACTATAACAGATATTTTATCTTTTTAAATTAATTTTAAATAATAATATCAAATAATTAAATTTTAAAATGTATTTCAATAAAGTATTATTAAAAATCCGTTTCGACAACATTTTTAAAAGTTATCCCTTAATCAAATTAAAAGGAAATTTCAAGTCCGTGAGCGTCTATAAAAGGGGCTCTGAAGGTTTATGTTTTCACATAGCAAAGAGAGCTTACGCAAAGGATAGTGGGTTACAGAGGCAGAGAAAAGATAGTCTTGAAAAAAATGGGAGGCTGGGCAATTGCAGTGCACGGTGGCACTGGAGCCGACCCAAATCTCCCCAAGGAAAGACAAGAGGAGGCTAAAAGACTCCTCAAACGTTGCCTTGATATTGGCATCTCTGTTCTCCGCTCTAACCTCCCCGCCATTGACGTCGTTGAACTCGTTGTATGTTCTCCTTGACTTTTACCCTGTAACGGTTAATATGTTTAATAATAGAGATTAGATAAGTTTAAAAATTAACATGGAAAAACATTCAGATTTCAGTTTTTGTTGCCTGGGAAATAAATTTTGGGTTTTGTTTTGGTGTAGGTGAGAGAATTGGAAAGCGATCCTTTGTTTAACTCCGGCCGTGGATATGCCCTTACAGAGAATGGAACGGTGGAAATGGAGGCCAGCATTATGGACGGCCCGAAGAGGCGATGCGGCGCCGTTTCCGGCTTAACAACAGTTAAGAACCCAATTTTCCTCGCCCGACTTGTCATGGAAAAATCACCACATTCGTATCTGGGCTTTTCGGGTGTAGAAGAGTTTGCCAAGAAACAGGTTCGTAGTTTGGTCCAAATCCCACGTTTTTAAATGCTTTGGAATCTTTGGTTCCGTTATCCACGTGTTGGTGTCCACACCTGACATGACAGAAGACAAGTTTGTGTCTTGTTAGATTAATGGGTTGGATTTGTTGCAGGGCGTGGAGATGCTGGACAATGAATACTTCATTACCGAAGATAATGTTGGGATACTTAAGTTGGCAAAAGAGGCGAACTCAATCCTGGTAAATATACGTTTAATATTCGCATTACTTACCTTGTATCTGTATGAAACGGCCGGCGAGATTAGTGCAGTGGGATAAAGGCTAACGTTTTCTACTTTTATCTACTCTATAGTTTGATTATCGGATCCCGACGATTGGAACCTGCAGTGCTGGTGCCGCCATGGACAGTCTTTTGTAGATGAACGGACTGTAAAGTCAAAGTGGGCGGCTGGCAAGGGAATTCAATGAGGCGGCAGACAAATGGGGCTGTTAATTTTGTCAAAGTTAGACAGCTCTTTTTTCTTGAATTTAAGCAATGATTAATTACATTTTAATTATGGCACTTTAGGGTATTTTTAAAGATAAGTCTCTAAGCTTCAATTATAAATACCCTAATTCATTTAGTTTCAAAATCATCTTAAAATCTCAAATCATTTCTTTCTCCCAATACTAGAGAGTTTTTTTGTGAGTAGTGAGTGTTTTGTAAACACCTGTAAATTTTCTCTCTTAGTAAAATATCTGCAGCAGTCCGGAGTTGTAGGCAAAATTGGCTGAACTTCGTTATCAATTTCGGGTATTATTTTTCTGCTTTTATTTCGCATTCTCACTAATCTGGATATAGGGAAATTACTTGTTCTCAGTTTATTTCTCAATAACTGGTAATCAGAGCTTTTGGTTGTGAATTTTGTCAATTTTTTGCGATGTTACTATTCATTAATATTCACATTAATAGTGAATTTTGTGAATAGTAAAATTTTGTCGGCGATACGAATTTGTCGACGGAGGTGTTCTAATACATGGTGGTTTGTAAGAATTGTCAGAAACGATCCAAACGAAGCCAGATTCGAGTGGGAGCGATGGCTGCAGATGAAAGGAAGGTGAAAATTGAAAAGTTCGATGGTGCGAACTTTGGCTTTTAGAAGATGTAGATTGAAGATTTTTTGTACCAGAAAAATCTATATCAACCTCTATCAGGAAAGCAACCAGAGGGCATGAAGAATGAAGACTGACTCTTCTCGACAGACAAGCCCTCGGAGTTATCCGACTGACGTTATCCAGTAATGTTGCTTTCAACATAGCAAAGGAAAAGACCACGGTGGGTCTTATGGCGGGTCTCTCCAGTATGTATGAGAAGCCATCGGCCTCAAACAAAGTGCACTTGATGAGGCGATTATTCAATTTGCGGATGACAAAAGGGGCATTGATGGCACAACACCTAAATGAACTCAACACAATCTCAACCCAGTTGAGTTCAGTGGAAATTGAATTCGATGATGAAGTTCAAGCTTTGATTCTCTTATAATCTCTACCAGACAATTGGAATGCTACTGTTACAAAAGTCATTAGCTCGTCGGGAAACAACAAATTAAAATTCGACGATGTTCGGGATCTAGTATTGAGCGAAGAAATTCGACGGAGAGAATCGAGTGAAGCATCAACCTCCTCAGCCTTGCACACGGAGTCTAGAGGGAGAACTTCATAAAGAAATTCAAATCGTGGCAGATCGAAATCCAGACGGGGAAAATCTAGAACATGAAAGAAATATTTTACCTGTTATAATTGTGGCAAGAATGATCACTTTAAAAGAGATTGCCGAGTACTGAAGAAAGATATCGGCGCACAAGAATCTGCAAACATGACAGAGGAGACAGGTGATGCCATGATTTTAAGCGAAAACAGTCTGATTGAATCATGGATCTTGGATTCAGGGGCATCTTTCCACTCCACCCCATGCTGAGAAATCATGGAGAACTATGTCAGTGGTGATTTTGGGAATGTTCATCTAGCTGATGATGAAACCTTAAAGATCGTCGGAAAAGGAGACATCCGACTAAAGTTGCCAAACCAGACCACCTGGACGCTGAAAGGAGTAAGACATATTCCTGGCCTCAAAAGAAATTTGATTTCTGTAGGACAACTTGATGGAGAAGGATATAACACAACCTTTTCAGGATGTGAATGGAAGATTACCAAAAGAGCACTCATTATTGCTCGTGGTAAGAAAATTGGTACTCTCTATGTAACCTCAAACTTAAAAAATATCATTGCTGCAACAGATGCTGATGGAAAATCAAAGGGTTGAATCTGCATGAGGCAGTGGATTATGTGATAAAACATAGGTTATATGAAGGCAAAGCGGGGCTCATTGCTGTGTCAAAGGACGGCGAAGTGGCTTGTGGGTTTAACACCACCGGGATGTTTAGGGGCTGTGCCACCGAGGATGGTTTCATGGAGGTTGGCGTGTGGTGAAGGTCCGAAGAGAGCTTTACTTTTCCGGTGGTTTTATCGGTAATGTCACTTGTAGTTCAGAGTATCGTGTGTAATTCAAATCCCACCAATAATAAATCAAGATCTTCCGTATCAATGAATCATTAAAAGCTTTGACGGTTGAGATTCCTTATCAATGGAATTAACATCTTGAAAGGGATCTTCTTCGGGACAACCAAATATGAAAAAATCAACCTTCAATATTCGCCATATTACCACATGTTTCTGTCCGCAGTGGCCTGGCCCCATTGAAAACAGCCACTAAGAAAACTCCAACTGCCTTCATGGGCAGAATCTTGTATGGATACTCCTACTCTTCAACATCAACCCTATCACTATAAGCTTCAGTATATGTTTTACATATCGAATCTTGTATTGGCAGCTTCTCAATGATCCCATTTCCCTTCCTTAGCTGGCTTGAATCCAACAAACATAACAGTGAAAAATTATGTTTTTAAATCAAAGATTCAAACATGTGATCCGAGTCCTAAGACGACAGCTACTAGGTGGCCCCCAAAACACGAGGTTGTTAAATTTATACACGACACGTGCTGCTTGTAAACACACTACTTTACAACTGGTGGGACTACGGATTTGATTAAATCAAGTTGTGGGAATATGCATGTATCTTGATAAAGTAGTAAAATCCAAGATGAACTTCAACATTGAGCATCCATACATAAACTATGGCATACATCATGCATAATACATGGAAAAAAGGTAGATTTTGAAAGGAGCAGCAACTGTTTCTGATTATTTGAAAATCCAAACCCATCAATGAGCACATAACAGGATGCCATCTATTTCCTCTGAAAATTTTGTATCAAATTTATATTTTTTTTGAAGTCTAAATCAATTTATAGAATTATCTGTAATAGGTTATATTGGAATAAATTAAAATTTTGAGTATCAACATGTATAACATTTTATTATCTTTTATACATTATATGGCTTCTGTGACAGACGAATTTAAATAATTTTAGGGATGAAATCCTGTGAAGTATCATATGACACATTTATTATTGGACGTACCTTATATATAGTTTATAAAGTAAATTTCGAGATGCGAGTTGTCTTACAACTTCCTGGAAAAAGGCCCCATTATCCATATATTTGAGTATGAAGCATCATAAATATCCAAGGAGTCAACTCTACCACTAAATATTGTTTTTTTGTTTTCTAATTCAAATAGTAGAGAATTTAACTTTGAGTGCAGCCAAAGTTCAGCAAAAGTTACTTTAGTTGTTTCTATAATTTTCCACCAAAACATGTAGGCTGCTGCGGCTGTTTGATTCCAAGGAGAAGACTGGAATCTTGGACCACAATTTATCCAGTTATGTCTTTTTCTTTTAAATTTACCTATTTTTCTAATCAAGATTCATGACAGAATCTTGCACCAAATCTAAGTCCCACCAATCAAACTGTTCCAAATTTTCAAAAGCTAAAATGCTTTTTCCTACGTCTTTTCTTCTCTTTTTATTTATTTTCACTTTTGTTTAATAATCCGAAGAAAGGTATTATAAAAATGACAATAGATAAAGTCATGTTTGGTTATACTGCTGATTTTAAATGGACCTACAATTTCAAATTTGTGAAATTATATATTCAAGATTCATACCAGATCCTTTCACCAACCCCCAATAATTTAATCATCTTTCCGTCTTCCAAGCGAACTCCCCCAACTTTAATTTGTGTTAGAATTTAACTTGAATTCAAATCTACACAAATTAATTGATATATAAATTAAATAGAGTAATAAATCTAATTCGATTAAAAGTAGAAAATCTTATTAAAATAGATTTCTACTCGATATAGTTTTCTTCTGTGATTTTTCCCAAAAAGTTTTTCATGTAAAATCTTGATATCTATTTTATTGGACGATCATTATGCATGTCGTTATCTTCAAATAAATTCATAGCAGAACATTCGTGTTGTTTGATTCAATCACGATAATGACATATTTGAAGTATGAATTTTTTTGTTGGATCACAACATAATATTAACACTATGAAAGGTAGAGATATGAAAACTTCTTAGAGCTCTCTTATTCTGATGAAAGTGCACATAAAAGCTGTCAAGTTTTATATTCTGCATGGTTCAACAACTATAGAAGATAAACTATTATTTTTTCCTTCATGGTAAAGCATGATTATATGTTGAACAAAACAATCGTGGGCATAATGGTTTTGGGAGCAAAAATAAATTGTTATATTCCGTGGGATAACATATTTGAATAGAAAAAGAGAGTTCAGTTTTGTGGGCATAACAGATTCGAGAAGAAGAAAATTCAGTTCCGTGAGCATAACGAAAAAAAATAGAATTGTCATTGATGATCAGGATGGTATTGTGCATGATATTGGTTGTAGTGAACAAGTTGTGAGTAAAATTAACACTTATGATTTCTTTACCGATGTGAAGGCTAAATTCAAGTTTGGACAAGCTTTGGATTCAGTTGGCAACCATTGTTGAACTCTAAGGGTTTCGTGGAAGAAGTGAATAACTTGTTTGTTGAAGTAAAGATTTGTTTTTGTTGAGTTTGAGTGTCTCATTGAATTTGTGTGTTTTGTCACGAAACCTTCGCACTTTTAGAATTTTCGTCAAGCTAGAGATTTGTTAGAGTTTGATTGGAATTCAAAGTATCAAAAAATTAATTAATATATTAATTTTGGAAAGTAATAAACGATTAAAAGTAAAACATATTTGTACTTTATATAGTTTCCGTAATCAAATATATATCCCTATAAATAGATACAAATGATTAAGGTTAGAGATTAAGTTGTTCATGATGACTTCTATTGTATTCTTCTTCTCTTAACATTAGTGAATTTTCTCCTCTTCTACTTGTATTTTTTTCCGAACGAATTTTTCACATAAAATCTTAATATCTATTTTATTGGACGATCATTATAAATGTTGTTATCTTCTAACAACAGTACTCTTTTAAGTTTCGTTGCTTATTTTCGTTTAATAATATACAAGTAAGTTTAATAATTCAATATTTTTGAAATAGTGTGGGGGCCATGTACAACTCTAGATAATTGTTCAAACTTTCAAGTTTTTAACAAATGAAAAGGGCGAA